CCCCAAAACCCCAAAACCCCAAAACCCCAAAACCCCAAAACCCCATATATGTGTCAGGATGCTGAATTATTAAGAAGTGTTAGAATTACTGCCACTGATGCTTTCTTCATTATCGTCACTATCTTGATGTCGGAATGGAGACTGGCTATCTGAGGAATTTCTACCACTATCTTCTTCATTTGAGTCAGATTCTCCCTCATTTTCGCCGGAGTCTTGGGAGTTATCGGCAGATTCACCTTCCGATTCATATGGTTCTCTGAATCTGGCTTCCATGTCGCAACCGTACCACTTAAGAAAATAATTCCAGGTTTTTGAGTCAACGAGGTAGTAATCCTTCTCTTCGACTAGGTCATCCTTAAGTTTGAGGTTGGAATTGTTGTCGAAATAGACCAGATTATGGTTGAAGATCTTCCCTGGCTTGTACTTCAGCACTTCAAAGGAAATGAGGTTCCTCTTGGTACTCCTACTGGTTCGAGGATTCTCTTCGTCCTGATTTGGACTTGATAATGAGCTTGATCGATGAAATGCCTTTCGAGTTTGGCTGTACTTTGGTGGAGATTCATCAAAGTCTATTATTTCAAAATCATCGTCTTCTCCAAGCTTCTGAGTCATTTTTCGTGGAGATTTGAGACCTTTATGTACCTTCAGTTTCAGATTCTCCAATGACTTTGGGCTGACATCTCTAAAGAGTTATCTAATGTGGTTACATATATTTACACCAGCTTCGCCACCATTTGGCTGGGACTGCATATTTGTCATCTTCAGTTCCACCAGAATGGGAAAATTCATCTATAGAATCTGTAGCTTTTAGGATAACTCTCTGTTCCTCTTCAGGACTGAGATATTTACAGAACTTTGAGCAAGGCTCTTTACTCTGCTTGAGCTCAAGAAAGGCATTGGATACAGTTTCTGTTCTGTTATCGTACGCTCATTGGCAATGGAATGTGTCAGGATCACTATCTGAGCTATTTTGGATTAGGTTATTGCATGCTTACGCTGAGCTGCCATCAAACCTGTTCTTTGATCCTTCTAGTATTTTTGGCTTATTGCTATATTTGAGTTATTGCTTTTATATTGCACTTTTTAGAAGGTAGAGCGTAAGATACTTTAATTACTCCCCACTAGAGTTGTCAAACCCAATTGGTTTGACTCAAGGATATAGAATTATAAACATAGATCCTGCTTTAATTAAGCAAATGTTCCAACACAAACTGGACCCTGTTGTTTTATCTGTTAAAGATTTAGTAGAAAATAATAATTACAGATTATCGGGCTTTAATGAAGAGGTTCAAATTTTGGAGGTAAATATTCAGTGAACATTTTAATGTAACATACCTAATCATTATCTCTTCCTTTTCAATTGGAATGTTAGTGGCACTTCTCTTTGGTTCGATATTGACTAGTTCGGTTGGCTTTTCAGGAGGAGATTTTAGTTCACTGAATACTTTCTCTTCCTCAATGTCCCCAGCATCTTCTGGAGATAGATTTATCTGCTTTGAGCTAAGTGCTTCTCCTGACTTAACCTTCATGGGCTTGACATTTGAGTTATTTGCGAGCTATAGGTAGTTTTTGGAGTCTTTTGGATCCAGCAAAATAACTTTCTTCAACTGAATGAGGAACCTCTTCGTTTTTGAGCAACATTTCTACCTTTTCAGTTGGAAGTCGCACAGGGCTGAGGTATGTATCAACATCAATTCTGGTTTTCAAGGGGTTCATCGAGCTCCTTCCCTCCTCATTCTTCATATAATTTTGGCTATTTCATGCTAGTTAATTGTTCTTCCTTGCCGATGGAGGTGAACCCTCTCTTGAACTTCGTGTCTCCTATGAGAAGTAAGTCTTAGTTCTGTAGCAGGAACAATCCAGCCCAGTTAGGAAGCCCATGATAAGAAATTGCACTTAAGCAGAAGTTGCTGAAATTTACCTTTATAGTTTAGCACGGAGGAAGTTTGCTTGTTCTTTTGTAACGTATTTTTACCTTCTAGCTTTTCGATTCTCCGTTCGAGATCGGCTATTCTTTTGATGTATTCGGTCATTCATCCTTTGATCAGAGTGCGTATCATGACTTCAGCCATCTTTTCAGATTTGATATCAAGTTTGCTCATATTTTATATTCAAATCTTTTTCTTTCTAAAGGGGTTTTGGGGTTTTGGGGTTTTGGGGTTTTGGGG